CGTTGAGCCAAGGTACACAAAGTCATGAACAACTTCCAATTCTTGTGTGGAGATGGTAATAGAGTAAGGGGAGTCCATGCCTTGACCCATGACTCATTGGATACATTAATATGAAATCCCTTTTACCCTAAATGCTGTTATTCCTGGAGATCTAGTATTTTTAGGAAGCTAGAACCACTTTTCTCACATACACATAGAATTGAACCACTATCCATAAATTCTTTCTCACATGTGCCATGCCTCCATTCTTGTTCAGGTATGCAGCCTATTTATCAATCAATTCCATCGATTCATCACATACCTTTGTCAGACGTGCCTGCCCATCCATCTGTCTGTTCATTCTTTCACTCTCATCAGTATAAACACACTCTTGTTCCATTCTCTCTGCCTTCTATTCTCTCTCTCTCTCTCTCTCTCCAAACACACTCTTGCTCCATTCTCTCTGCCTTCTATTATCTCTCTCTCTCTTTGTTTTTACTTCCAGTTCCTCATCTGCAATTCCTACTACCAAAAATGGCTTCCATATTTTTGGTAGTGGGAATTCCCTATTATATATTTCCCTTTCAATTAGAGTTGGGCAGGGAGAACGAAGGTATCATTTGTGCAAATGGGATTTCTTTTCCTTCCTAACCCTAATTAATCTGCGGAATAGTGGTGGGGCTGATGAAAAGAAAAAGCCAGCCAAATTAAAAAGTCCCATGAGCTGGAGTTTTCCAACCTTTTGCCTAAATGATCATAAAGTTAACCCCTTGTTCATTCAAAAAAAAAAAGAAAAAAAAAGAAAAGCTTAATCTTATGCAGAATATAATTTTCCCAATTTTTCTCCTTAACCTTTCTATGCCAAATAAAAAGCTATGGTACAGGCTAGATATAGTCCATGTTGTCAAAGTATTTGCTAGCACATCTTCAAATAATCCTCTGTTTTGTTTGTATTTTATTATAAGCAAGGCTCTCAAGTAAATTGTGCTCAGAAAATCCATGATTAGCTATCCTTCAGTCTTGAGAAACTATGGTAACATGTTCAGAAAATCCACATACTCTACATTCATTGTGTAATACAAATGAGAATGGAAGTGTGGCAGAAGTATTTATTTTATATATTTATATATTTATATATTTGATTTATACCCCGCCTATCTGGTCTACTCGACCACTCTAGGCGGCTTCCAGTATAGGAAGTAGGCAGGAATCAGCTGCCTTATCCTAAACTTCCATATAAATGTCAATAATTGGAGGAAACCCTTGGGGATCTAGCTTTGGTGGATTCCAAGGACAAGCTGGTAGTGGTGGATACATACTGGTTAATTCTGAAATTCTGGAATGAACACTGGCAACCTTAGGTTTTCGCCTTTCCCTCTCTTTTTCATGTACCAGAGGACGCTTGATTTCACATCCTGCCTTGTTCTTGGTAACTAACAGTTAAATCAGGATTGTGGAACTTATAGTTCTCCAGTTGTTGTCACATTCCAAGTCTGCCTAATCCAATAGTCAGGGATAATGGGGACTGGATAGTGTTTTCCATACTTGGTTGAAACAAACAGCAGCTACCTGAGATCTCTAAACCACAAAAGAGAGGGAAGGAGAAAGGGAAAGGGTACTCTGTGAGCCTCAGGCACATCATGATTCTTATATGTAGCAGAAACAGAGGAGGAAACCATGTCTTCCTAATAAGTCTGAATTGACTCATTCACTGAAGAGTTACAAGATCATCTCATGACATTGTCAGCATACAACGCAGCTACACTGAGTTCATTTGTCAATTAGTTTAAACCAGGTTTTTGTCTTGTGAAGTCTGGTTCCTTCTGGCCACTGGTGAGGCGTGTTTGTAGAAAAGGACGAGCAGCCTGTGGAGTGTTTCATCAGAACCAACAAAGAGCTTGTGGCAAATGAAGACCAAGGTTGCAAAGAACACCATGTGCAAAGGCCATCACACAGCTGTTTCCCCCTCAGTGGTACGCTGTCCTCCGGGCAACTAGCATATGCCCAGTTTCAGAATTCATTTGCAACCTGGAGTACAGAAAATAGCCCACCACAAGGGGAACTGTTCACACCACTGTCCTTGGGCTTTGTGTGTCCCCAGCAGGATTCTGGCCCAAGAAACATTTGCTGGCATAAGGTTTTCTGGCCTGCAGTTGACAAAGGCATCTGTCTAAACTGGTTGGTCTTTAAAGGTGCTGCAAGACATTGTTGGATTTGCTGGGAAGTCCATATATTTCTTTGGTGTTATTTCAGTTCAAGTGTTGGAATTACCATTTCACTGGTCCAGCATAAGAACAACAGTATATATCCAGGCATTTATTTTCTTTCTTTCTTTCTTTCTTTCTTTCTTTCTTTCTTTCTTTCTTTCTTTCTTTCTTTCTTTCTTTCTTTCTTTCTTTCTTTCTTTCTTTCTGCATTTGTATTTTTATTTTAATATTTATATTCTGGATAATTCTTTGATCTCATGATTTTTGTATTCCTGTGTTATTATGAATTTAAGATTTTGAGTTGTGTAATATGAAGATTTACATTCTTCTCATGCCAAGTCATCATGTCTGTGTGTATTCTGATCTGTTTTTGTTCTGTTCACTGCAGTGATTAAAGAACCAAGCCGACCCACTGCGATCCTTGAGGTGTCAGACCGGATGTATTGCTCTGCCTGTTCAAGAGGTTTTGATAGTCGGGAGGAACAGGTGGGCCTTGCTATACAGTTTCCTATTTGCAGGAACTGTTTCTTTCCTGGGACCTTTGAGGGTAAGAAGTGAAATGCCAGAGATGGGAGGTCTAGCTTTGTGGTGTTTTTTAAATGTAGGAACTAATTAACATTAAAATCGTGCTGTTTCTTTCCCTGAGGTGAAACTTAGGAACTCTTTGTTCTTAATCGAGCATTAGCTGTTCTGACCTGATGGCTGAGAAATGGTTTTGTCTACTTGACTTTGGTCTATTGGCCAAATATGGCCATAGTCCCTATTATCTTCCTTTCTTTTCCTGTCTTGTTCAGGCTGAGCATTATCGGCTAGATTGGCATCGTTTCAACATAAAGCAGCGACTGCTGGGCCGCAGGATGCTCACCGCTGAAGAATTTGAAGTGAAGACTCAAACAGGTGAGGGAAAGCCCATAGTTTGGACTAGCCATTGCATGAGGCCTCACTATCATTGATAGGCCTAATGCTGTACTGTTCCGGCCTAGTTCAGACAGAGATATTGGGCATCTTCCTTCAGACTAGTTCCATAACAAATTGGTGAAGGCAACTCTTCAGTTGCTACTAAGTCCTTTTATAAAGATTCACCCTACACGGGGTATGGGGTATGGGTTCATCTTGTGGCTGTCTACCATAGTAATGCTTGCACATTTCACTCTGGAAAATGTACCACAAGATAGTGAATTCTTTTTAGAAGCCTGTTCTTTTAGACGTGGACCTGATTGTTGGCCTCACTGATCTGTCTGAAATATGGGATCTTCTAGCTGGAAGTGCTTCCTTTGTGCAAGAACTGTTTCTTTCCTGTGAACTTTGAGGGCAAGAAGTGAAATTCTAGAGATAGAAGGTCTACCTTTTGTCATGTTATGTCACTACATTGGTCCACAGGTGATGTCTCCAGCATCTCTGGCTCAGATTCTAGTGACTCTGACTCATGCAATGAATCTGATCCCCAGCCTTTCCAGGAAAGCAGAGGCAGAGAGAGCAGCCATCAAAGCCCTTTGCTTCATCTGCGCTCTCAGAAGGTTCTGTTCAGAAATTCCCAAGGCCTACTCATCTCGGTGTATCGCTGTGTGCTAGGCACAGCAAAGGTATGTTTCAGGACACCAAAGCAAAGAGCCCACTGGGCCTCATTCCTTTTCTCTTCCTCCTTGGGACATTAGTTGCCCATCACCAAATGATAACCATGATTTTTCAGTTCCTGTCATGAAACCGGCGCTACATAGTGTTATGGTCATGTTTCAAGGGAACTATTTAAGTGTTTGCCGCATTATAACCAACTGTTGCTGTGCTTCCTTCTCCCACTTATCTTCTTGCTTTTACTGCCAGAGTTGTTCCTCCTGGGCATCCTGAGCCATAGGCTGATATTATAGTCTCAGTTGGTTGGAGAAGTTCCTGGATTGTTATTATGTGAAATAATCTCTCAGGTGCTGCCAAGTTGCCTAGTCACCTGGCTGTGACCTTTCCCTTCCCATTCATTTGTAATGTTTCACCATCCCATCTTGAATCCTAGACAGGACCCCCCCCCTTCTGCACCCCACGTGCCTGCTAGTTTTTTTTTCCAAACAAGCCTGAATTTCTTTAGGATGAATAGCAGCAGTTTTCCTGCTTTCAAAATTTTGTGGGGAAAGAACCGCCCTTTTGGAGTCCTTGTCCTTGGTACTGTTTGATAACATATCCCTCCTCTTGCTTCCTTTTTTTGGAATGTGCAGAATTTCCCTCAGCCAGGAGCCCATATCTTGAGCAGCACTGCCAGCCATCTTCTGCAAGTCTAGATAAAACCCGGACATCTTTATTTAATCGCCAGGCTAAGAGTGCTCCCAATTTTCAGTCCTTGTCTCCTCACTAACTGAAAAGTGTTTGTTTATCTCTAGGGCAGCCGAGAGGAGCCTGCAGAGTTCGTGGCTGCCTTTCAGAAGCAGAGCCCTGAGACTTCCTGGGTTATCCTGATGGCTGGTGGAGGACACTTTGCTGGAGCTGTCTTTAAAGGGTAAGCATGCAGAAGAGCCAGCCGTCATGCGCGTCCTCCCTCGGCTGCAGAGGTTCCCTTAGGATGAGGGAGTGTTTGAAGGCTGAAAGGCACTATGATTCCACGTCATTGTTGATCAACCTGCCATGGCAATTCATTTAAGAGAGAAGATTGACAGGGAAGGGGAACTGGGCTTAGATGTGTGTTACACAAGAATACGTAGGGTAGGTGGACCTTTTTAAGTCATCTGTAGGTGATGTGTCAGTTGGGTGTTGCAGTCACCGCAAAGTATCTTTTCCAAGTTTTGAGATAAATCCTGATTCCGTTTCAGCCTTATATCATTGGCAGGTACCCAGGTGTTGTCCTCTGGCTTAGACTTACCTTCACTCTGTTCTCAGGGATGAGGTGCTACAGCATAAGACATTTCATCGGTACACTGTGCGAGCTTCCAGAGGTACAGCCCAAGGAGTGAGGGATGCTCAAGGATCTATGCCAAAATCTGCTGGGGCCTCGCTGCGTCGCTACAACGAGACTGCCCTGCTCAAGGTGAGTGTGGTTCCTTGAGGGCAGCCGAGGGGAGATCTCGCATGTGATAAGGACTTGGTGGCTAGGAAGTCCTGGGGAAACTCTTTGGATCTGTCATTTCATAAGGAGTCACCTAGGCTTTTCTGCTTTCACAGGGGAAAGATAGAAAGGATACAGACAATTTTATTTAGCTGTTCAGTATAGGTTCTTGTTGATAGCATCTATAACAATGAATGAAGCAGGAGATGGACTCCTATAATCTTAGCAGTCCATCATTATCTTTCCTTTTCTGCAGATCTCACACGTTAGGGTATGGAATCCTTAATTCTGCATTCCTTCATGTGCAGGAAAAATGGTTTTAATGTGGGAAAGATGTGTATATCCCAAGCATCTCCTGGAACAATGAACAGATGTTGCATTTAAGCCACAATGCTATTTTGTGTCCCCCCCCCCAACTCTGTTTTCCTGCAGGATATCCAGGAATTGTTGGCCAGTTGGGCCAAGCACATAGAAGAAGCAGAATGCATTTTTCTTCGTGCCCCTCGCACCAACAGGGCTTGTTTCTTTGGTGGCAAAAATGGTCCTCTTCAAAGAAATGATCCCCGTATCCGAGGCATTCCTTTTAGCACACGGAGAGCTACATTCCATGAAGTGCAACGGGTGCATGGGGTTCTGAGTAGTTTGCAAGTATATGGTGAGCACACCCTTTGTCACAGTGTTGGGGAGGTAGACTTCTCTTCCACAGCCATTTAGCTCCATGTCTTTTTGCCAGCTTGACTTTTAGCCACTTGGGATACCTCTTCCCATGACGCTTTACTCCATTCACCAGCCCCAGGCTTGAGATTTCCCTTGAACTGTCTCTTCCAATACTTAAAACCACTCTTTAAAGGTTTTCATGTATATTTCCCCTGGCTATGCCCTCCTCTTCTTCCATCTGGCCCTGCCCACTTAACTTGGCTTCCTGTTTGCTATTGCTGAAATGTGCTTGTTATAAATTGCTAGCTGGAGTTGTCCCATTGGAGGACTTCTAGGAATTGAGAATAATGTTTGTACTCTGAAATTGAGTTTTCAGTGAGTGTGGATCCAAGTAAATACCAGACTGGTTCTTTCTGCAGGAAAAGACACAGCAGTAGCAGACCTGGTGAGGACTCCTCGGAAGACCTGGAAGAAAGTAGTTCATCAGGATGAACCATCTACACAATGTCAAGAGAGTAGTGAGTTGGATAGAACTAGCACTGCTGTCCTGTTGCCCTGTCCTTCTAGTCAATGTTGATGTCTCTTGTACCCTTTTCATTCAACTCCTAGGCTGTACGATCAAAAGATCATCATAAGCAGCAGAGCACAGAAGATTCTGCCTGAAGTGTGGAGTGGCTTTAGTGAAAACTGCCTGAAAGAGGGCTCTGGGCAAGAAATTGCTCAAATCAGGAGGGGGGCTACTAATATAGAAAGACTCGTGTGGCATATTAAAGGTTAACAAGTTTTATTTGACATAAGTTTTCCGGGATGGTAGCTCACTTCTTTAGATGCCATGGGCTACCGTCCACAAAAACATGTGTCAAATAACACTTGTAGGTCTTCAAGGTGCGGCAATACCCTTTGTTGTTTTTGGCTGTAACAGATCAACATAGCTGTCCTCTTGGAAATGTGGAGGAGTTTATACTGTTAGTTGCAGTCCAACTGAGAGTGGTGACTGGCAGATCGAACCACTTTCTCCGGTGTAGTTAATGGTTCTTGTTTCGTTCACTTGGAAGTGAGCAGGAATGAGTGATCTATATTCCTTCTTTCTTCCAGTCTTCTCAACAAGGTCAGAGGAGGAGGAGGAGGAGGAGGAAAATGGAGAGGAAAATCCAGAGCAACTGGAGGAGGTGGAGCTGACACTGAACACATTGGAACTGCGTGAATTTGAAGTGGCACCAAAACGGAATCACAAGAAGAAAAGGAGGAAGCCAAAAGTGCAGAAAGGTAAGTGGCTGGGATAAAGGAGATGTCTTTTGACACAAATACTTTGGTACATGCCTTTTCTAGGATTGCTGTTTTGGGGCTATTTGCCTGCATTGAGGAACACTGCCTGAAGCTCTGCAGCTGCTTCCTAATAATGTGCAATATGGAGTAAAAGGATGGTACTGGGTTTGACGCAGTAACCAGGACTATTACTTGGCAGAATCAGTTCAAAATTCTGCAGCCTAGACACCAAAATCCAATCTATTTTTGAATAACTGAAATTTTCCACATCGTAGTTATTGCATTAAACTAAACGCCATTCTGCGATAACAGAAGAAGCACCAATATACTTGCTAAGAGTATTCTATTTAGCCCTGATGGATTGTCATAGTCTTACAAGTAAAAGTAGGACAGTGGGACATTGGAAGAGCAGTAGCAGTTGTAGGATAATAGGTTGAGAGGGCATCATGGAAAATCAACTTTTACACTTGTTCCTAAAAACCTAACCATTTTCTGGTCTCCAGAAGCCACTATCTTCACCTCTCTCTAGTACCTCTTTATCCATTATGACTAGAAACACGTTTAAAACAAAACAAAATAAAACATGCATTATATCTCATACTACTACTACTTTTTCAACCTACCCGTTCTGTAACCCAGTCTTTGTGGCTGAAAAAGACTCAAAGTGGACACGGAGAAGGCAGCAACCAGCTGAGATGAATTCATAGCTCCAAAATTGCTCTTACAAAGAAAAAATTCTTGGGATGAAGATTCTGTGTTGAGGGTTCCACATTCAACCTTCTGAAACAATAGTTCCCTCTCCTTGTTACATATTGGATTGCACCCAGCTCTTTTGATTCAGGAGCTCCTGCAGCAAAGCCAGGAAAGCAGAGACATGACTCTTCGCCAGGCTATAATTCCTGAGGCTTTTTCTGAGCATGTTGGGTGATTGGAAGGCTTCTAGGAAACCAAGCCTGCCATTGATTTGTTTCACAGAATTGTAAATCTGAAGAGATCTCAAAGGTCCCTGAATCAGCCCCTTGCCCAAGCGCAGCCAAAGCATTCCTGAGAGATGTCTATCCAACCTCTGTTCAAAAGCTCAGTGGAGAGAGTCCACCATCTTTTGAGGTTGTCCATTCCACAGAGGAACAGCAGACACTGACAGGAAGTTTTTCCTAATGTAGAATCAATTTCTGCTTTTTGTAATTTGAATCTATTGTATTCGTGAAGGCTTTCACGGCTGGGATCTAGTAGTTGTTGTGGGTTTTTCGGGCTCTTTGGCCATGTTCTGAAGGTTGTTCTTCCTAACGTTTTGCCAGTCTCTGTGGCCGGCATCTTCAGAGGACAGCACTCTGTGCTCTGATCATAAGTGCTGTCCTCTGAAGATGCTGGCCACAGAGAATGGCGAAACATCAGGAAGAACAACCTTCAGAACACGGCCAAAGAGCCTGAAAAACCCACAACAACCACTGAATCTATTGCTTTGGATGTGACCCTCTAGAGCAGCCATTCTCAAGGAGGGCTATATGTCCCCCCTAGCATATTTGAAGGGGGCCACAGGCGAGAAACAGTTCTTCACACACCACCTTATAAAGTTCATTACACAACTTACACAATCCCGATACAGCCTATATTTCTTTCATATCATGTTTATGGCCATGGCCAAAAAATATTAAGAATGGCTTCTCTTAGAGAAGTGGTTCCCAACTTTGGGTAACCTAGTTGTTCTTGGACTGCAACTCCCAGAAATCCCAGCCAGCACAGCTAGTGGTGAAGGTTTCTGGAAGATGCAGTCCAAGAACCTCTGGGTTACCCAAGACTGGGAACCCACTGCTCCAGAGCCACAGAAAACATATGTGGTCTATCATCCACATGACAACTTTTCAAATATTTGAATATGGCTGTCTTATTCTTCTCAGTCTTTTCCAGGCTAAACATAGCTAGCTCTCTCAACCATTTCTCATAGAGTTTGGTTTCCAGACATTTCACCATCTTGGTTGCCTTCCTCTACCTGCCTTCCAGCTTATTGATATCCTTTATAAACCATAATGTCCAGAACTGAGCAGAGTGGTGGGGTGTGACCAAAGCAGAATAGAGTAGTAAGGTTAGTTTCCTTGATCTGGGCAATTTATTTCTGTTCATGCCACCTAGAAGTGCATTAGGGTTTCGTTTGCCATTGCACCACATTGTTGGCTTGTGTTTAAATTGTAGTCTGGAAAGCCCTGCTATAGATCCTTTTCCCATACACGATTGCCAAGCCAGGTGTCTCTGTAATTTGTATACCTGAGACCAAAAAGTAAGCAGCACAGAAGAAAACGAACATGCTCTTGAAGAGCACTCTTTGGCCATGACCCATCAATCTGTTACAAATCCTCTTAACATTTACACTGAACCCACATTTTTCTGATCTTGGTCCCTGGAATATGGAGGATCTTTGCTGAAATCATTCACCTGCACATTCTCTTGCTTTACCAAGCTTCCAGTTGTATTAAGAAAAAAAGAGATGGCTTTAGACTGATGTGAGCTGTTTTTAAGAAACCTGTGCTGGATCTATACCACTTAGAAAAGAAGCCTGTGATTACTAAGACCACACATTCCATGATTACTAAGAGCTAGTCTAATGAACTGTTCTAGAACCATCCTCATATCACTGTCAAACTAACTGATGGATAGCCACTTAGAAGATCCCCTCTTCCCCACTGCCCCCCCTTTTTTGGGCGGGGGGAGGATATGTGGATGGTTGCTTGCCTCATCTTCAGGAACCTCACCTGTGCTCCAGAAACACAAAGATTATAGGCAGAAGCTCTGAAATTGTATTCAAAAGTTATTTGAGTACCTTTGAATGCAGTTCATCCGAGTCTATAGACAAGCTAAATGTTCCTCTTTACCTATCTCAGGCAGCAGCCCTGTGATTGCAACCTAATCTTCCACCCAGCTGAGTGCTAGTGTCCTTTTGGGAACAGCAGTAGGGAGAGTAGACCTTGAGCAGTTCCACTTTCTCTGCCACCTGTTAGTATTTCTCTGTCTTTTCCAGATTTACTGCTTCCTCCTGCTTTCTCTTGCTCCCAACATAGCTCAAAGTCTCCTTTTTGTTGTTTTAAAGTTTTTGTGCAAATCTTCTAACATTTCCGTGAGTAGTTATCAAAGTACAGTGGTGCCTTGCATTACGATGTTAATTCGTTCCAGTGAAATTGCTGTAGAACGAAAACATCGTAAAGCGAAATTAAAAAGCCCATAGAAATGTATTAAAACCTGTTTAATGCATTCCGATGGGCTTACAACTCACTGTCCAGTGAAGATCCTCCAAAGGGTGGCCATTTTCGCTACCTGTCTTGCGAGGAATCCGTCCCTAAACACAGCGGAGAGCCATTTTATTTACCCAGTGGCCATTTTGAAACCACCGATCAGCTGTTGGAAAATCGTCATTTTGCGAAGAATCGGTTCCCGAACCAGGGAACCAATCATTGCAAAGCGAAATCCCCCCATAGGAAACATCGTTTTGCGATCGCAAAAGCGATTGTAAAAAGTTAATCGTTATGCGATTTTGTCATTAAACGAAGCGATCGTAAAGCAAGCCACCACTGTACTCTGACCCACTTCTATATTATATCATAATAAAAAATGTATTGGACAGGCATCAGATGGTACTGAAACTAAAGTGAATTGGATAAAGGGACACTTCTAGCATGTAGTGTGTTTCCCTTGAAACAGGATCTTGCACTGAGACTTCAGGAGATGTTGAAGATCTCAAGGTCTCATTGTCCAGAAGTGAAAAATCAGCTGAGGCCCAGAAGCAATTGGAAGCTCAAGGTAAGATTTGATGTAGTGTGCATGTTTGCATGTACAGTTGCTAAAGTTCGTAGCACTTGAAATTGTTAAGCTTGCACCTCTAGCATTATTGAATGGTAAAAGTTTCTCCAATAATTTGTAATTTGACCTTTATTCCAGGCTGAGAACCTCCAATGGTAGTCAAGGCTTGTTAGCTTAGAAGTAATAGACACCAGTATTCATGCAAAGCTTTTTTCTCCCCTCAAGGAGCTCTAAGTACATCCATGCAGGATGCCTTGTTTACAGCTTGTAAGACAGGAGATACAAAAACATTGCATCATCTTCTGGAGATGGTTGATAGCCTAGCAAATGAGCAAGAGGAGTTGAATGGTGCAACGCAACAGCAGTTACTCAACAAGCCCCTGGATGAGAGTGGTTGGACCCTTTTGCACGTGGCGGCAGCAGCAGGAAGGAGTGCCATTGTGCAGCTGCTGTTGGAGGCTGGAGCTGACCCTGCCCTCAGGTAATGGTCAGCATGAGAGGACTATGTTGAGGCCTAGGTGTTACCACCTGGAATCCTAAGCAAGTCATACTTGCTGTCTGCCTGGGGTCAGCAGCGCTGATTTACAGTCAAGAGTGGCAAGCAGTTCCTTTTAAGCGTCTGTGATCCCCGATTCAGTTGACCTACAACATGCTATACAATCTGAGCCCAGGTTTTTTGTAAGAGCCTCATGGTGCAGTGGTTAAACTGCTATACTGCAGTGAAAAAACTCTGCTCACAGGATTCAGGTAGCTGGTTCAAGGTAGACACAGCCTTCCATCCTTCTGAGGTTGGTAACATAAGTACCCAGCCTGGGGGGTGGGGGGGGCAGTGTGTAGCTTGCATACTTAAATTACTGCTTTAAGAATTATGGGACAGTATATAAGCAGCATACTTTGATTTTTGCTTTGATAGTATTAGGAATTCATTGGTCAAAGAATCAGACTTGAATACTGCTTTGTCAAATACCATGGATGCACAGAAAGCCCCCCCCCCCAGTAAGCCGTAGTCTACCTCGCTTCCTGGGATAAATTTAAACCTGCTCATGGTGTGCAATGAATGGACTTCTCTTGTCCTCAGAGTCCATTTCTGAAGCAGGGGCAGTAACATGAGACACAGTTTAATTTCTCAGCAATGAATTAGCGTTAGCTGCGCTGCTGAAAAACATTAATCTGGACTCATGAAGTAACACAAGTGTTTCCCACTCCAGGGACAGACAGGAACAGCCTCCCTACTGTGTCTCAGCCAGTAAGCAAACCCGTGCTGAATTCCGTAGATTCATGGCTGAACAGCCTGAGAAATACGACTATGTGCGAGCTCAGGTGAGTGGTCTTGGAAGTGTGAGGAATTAGGAGGTGTGTGTGGTGGATGCTAAATGGGAGGACAGCTGCAAATTGAAACTCGAAAACCAAACTAGCTGTTGTTGGAAAAAAGTTCTTGACAACTTCTTTAACCAGTCTTTCTTTCTGATCATGGATGGCTTTTAATTGTGCTAACTCTCCCCTCTCGAGTTACATGATGGATGCTACAATGCGAGGAACCCTTGCTGTCTTTTCCCCCTTTCACTGCTTCCCACACACCTTTACCATTGGCAAGAAGAGCAGTGCTTTGATTCTCTTCCACCTGTCCTTACAAATACTTTTTCTCATGATGTATAGCCAGAACTCCATTTATCAAGTATTTATGCAGCAGGCATTGTTCTGCTAAGAGAGATATACAGTGGTGCCCCGCATGACGACATCGCAGAACGACGAAATCGCACAATGACTTTTTTGTGATTGCTATAGCAATTGCAAAACTATGTTTTCTATGGGGGATTTTCACTTAACGACGATTAGGTCCTTGTTTCACGAACAGTTTGTTCGCAAAAAGATGATTTTTCCGGCTCTGCAAAATGACTGCCCTGTTTTCCGGACCCATGCTTCGCAGGGCAGCCATTTTAACAGCTGATCGGCACTCGGAAAATGGCTTTCTCTGTGCGCGATCTTTGCTGGACGACGAGGTAATTTCCCAATTGGAACGCATTAAATGGGTTTCAGTGCATTCCAATGGGGAATTGTTTTCGCTGGACGATGTTTTTGCTTAACAGCGATTTCAGGGGAATGTATTTCAGGTATGGAGGACTCCTTTGCTTGCATCTGATTTTAAAATGCTGTTAAGAGTCAGGTAGGGACCTAAATATGTACTTAGATACTAGCTAGGGACTCTGCATCTGGGTGTGGAATGGGCAGGCATACTCAAAACAAGGAGAAAACTTACAATCCCTTTCAAAACATGCTGCTGTGAGCCAAGCAATTGTCTTTGTTCTGTGTGATCAGCATCTACTATGTAAACACAGGTACCTGGGCCCCTAACAACTGAAATGGAAGCCAGGCAGGCAGAACGCCGCCGAGCACACAAGGCACAGCGGAAGCAACGTGAGAAAGAGGAACGAGAGGCACTGCGGTTGCTGGAACAAGAAGAAAAGGAGAAACAGCACTTTGCCCTCTTGAGTGACCGTGAGAAGGTAAGGACCTTATGATTCAATGAAGAAAAGGTTGGCGACTCAGGAAATGGCATCAGTGCTAATGCCTTCTGCTGTAACATGCAGATGTTATTTATTATCCTGATTACCCAGAACTTCTGTAGAGGAAACTTTGACTAAAGATGTCCGTAGGGTAGCCTGTGAGTAAAAAAGAAAAGGGTTCTCCCAGGTCTAAGAATAAATTGGTTGAGGTATCCAGTTTCCACTATGAAGCGAGGATTAAGATAGATCCTTCAGAAATGATCCAGAGCATGCTGCTGTGAGCCAGATTTGTTCCTGCTTTAGAAAAACATATACTTGCTTTACTGTGACCTTGATTGCATAGGGAATCTTTGCAATTCTTTTTATTAAAATGCTTGACCCATACTTGGCAGTGCTCTCTGATGCAATCTGTTTAGTTTGCGTTTGACTTTGTGTTAGCCATCAGACACCACAAGGGCTAGCTGGTAACTTGATTTTATAATTCAAGTAGATTCTTTCCACAATAAGATGCCCAGAGTGTCTTACCTGAAACTTCAAGGCAGGTTTTGCAGAGGAGTCTGAATAGGGGAACATAGAGCCTTTGCAGATACATTCTGCAAGCAAGCTGTCTTCTGTTCTTAATAGCTTGGTGGATTTTTTTTTCTCTTAGCGTGCTCTGGCAGCTGAGCAGAGGCTTGCTTCTCAGTTGAAAGACTGCAGTGCATCTTTGATGAACATCAGGTATTTGGGGAGAATGGCACCTTCTCTCTTTTTTTATCAGTGTTAACTACAAGCCTATATGATGATGCCTCTTCTATACCTATAGGCGCTGCTGGCTGTGTGGGAAGTCACTGCTGGGATGTGTTCCTTTCCATTACCTCGATTTCAGCTTCTGCTCCACAGCCTGTCTGCAGGCTCATCGGAAAGGAAGAGCTGCCTCATCCTAGCTAAGGTTTTATTTTGCTTAAGTACCAGTGGCATATGCTTACTAGAATCAGAATGGAAATCCTGCTGTGTGATAGTTGCAATGAGGAAGTTATAGTGCAGCAGGGGAGACGTGAGTAGCTGTTTTAAGGTACCCTGTAAGAATCTAGGATGAATAGTTAGTTCATGACAACTGAGAAATTCCAACTTGATTTTTCCTTTTAAAAGCAGAAGCAGAATTTTGTATGCTGGAAATGGGTATGACAGTTATTATTAGATTGTCTCCATGACAAAGGAGTACCGATACCATTTCCTCTATATTCTGAAAAAGAACAGGCACTTCTTTCATAGCTTTCACTAAACTGCAGCTAAAAGAATCATTCTGGATTTGGATGCACTGTGCAAATATTTTCACAAGGGCAGGCATGTGCTAAAGATATTTGTTCAGTCCTGATTTCACTACTTAAAAGCCAGGAAAACAAATCTTCTGCCATACCCAGCAGTAACTATATCTTCGTAGAACTGCTGGCTTCATATGTTGTGCACGATAGTCTAAAGCCTAAAATGAAATCATAATCCTTAACATACACTGCAGAGAACTTGCTGATCACATTGGAGACAGAATTATGTTCCTTACTATTAATGTCTTTCACTTACCACACTAATTTCCACTGCCTTTCACTGTACTGGTTGCATAGTTTCCAGCACAAGCCAAAACTCTATTCTTCCACGCAGTATCTTTTCCCCAAAACCTCATGATCCCCTATGCAGAAATAAACTCTACATTTATGTCAGGTTACTCTATATTTAGTTGGGAGACTTGTATATAAAATACAGTGGTGCCTCGCTTAATGAGCGCACCGTTTAACGAAGCATCCGCATAGTGACCTGTTTTTTGGGGTCGCTAATGTGATCGCATTGCGATGTTTAGATAGGCTAAACATCGCATTGCGATCATTTCTGCCCCTGGCGGCCATTTTGGGAACAGCTGATCGGCAGTTCCAAAATGGCCGCCGGGTGAAGAAAATGGCCGCCCGCACCATTTTCGCGCCCTGCCCTCGCTTACCGAGGGCGCGAAAATGGCGGCGCTATGGAGAAACTTTGCAGAACGGTGAGTTTAAGAGCCATAGGAACGCATTAAACTAAGTTTAATGCCTTTCTATTGCATTTTCCGTTCCGTATAGCGATGTTTCCCCATAGCGACGGTTAATCCGGAACGGATTAACCTCGCTATGCGGGGCTCCACTGTACTGTATTAGACACCAGGGTTCTATCCATGCTGCCTAGCCTTTTATAGCAGTAGGGGAGAACTGTATTTAAACCTTTCCCCTGGGCACTTTTTAACCTATATTAACTGCATCAGACATAAAAGAAAACAGGGCTTGATCTGAAAAGTACCTTTTATTTGGCTTCTGAAATGTAGTAGTTTCAGGGTAAGAGTTCCACTTTTTTTTCTCTTACAGCCATATCAGCAAATTTCAGCGGCTCCATGGCAAGATGCAAACTACTATTAGTCACGTCTCTGTCAACAGAGTGGGAGGTGCCATTGAGAAGAGGCCGGTCAAGGAAGAGCACTCTAGGCATCTCTGGAGCAACCTCCAGTTCCAGGACTACAACAGTGTTGAGGGCCGAACTATTGAGGAGTGATCCAGGCACAAAGAGAGTTTGCTGCGGTCCACGAGCTGGCCAGAACCGGCCCAAATTAAAACCATTAATCCAGATCTGGCCCTGGTTGGAAAAAATAAAGAAGGATTGTATAAGTCAGTATCTCTATCTTCTAATAACCTATTTATTGTTAATCACCTCCAGAGCCAGAAAGGTCTGTCAGAGAAACAAAGTACACTACTAAGTACATTCTCAGAAATCATCCCATGGCTTTCACGGAATTTTACTAGGAACCAAGTGTAGTTAGACTGCAGCCTTGCCCATGATTGTTTTTTTTTAAATTAATAAATTTGTATACAACCTTTTACTTTATTTTATTTACCTAAACAACATAAACCTAACACCACAATAAAATACAATTACATAATACATCAGTGCCACCATCACCCTCAGGACTAGCATTAATAATATTTTAAATTTCATTCAGTTCATTTTCTTTCCAAAACTTCATTGTTTCTTCCCTTGCTGTATACCTCTTCCCTCTCCAAAATACATATTCTAAGAATATACTCCATATTTTCTTAAAATTATTATTTTTGATAGGCCTCTTCTTTTCATATCATGTCAGTTTATCATCAATTGCCATATCCCGTAGTTCTCTATACCATTCCTCTAAATTGAGTTGGTAATCATTTTTCTAGTTTCTTGCAAAAATTAACCTTTCTGCTGTAATCATTATTACTATTAAGTCCTTATTTTCTTTCAGCAATTGATGCTTCTTAACCAAATTCAATAAAGCCATTGACAGGGACATTTGAAGCTTTATCCAGTTATTTCACTTATTTTTTAAAAAATTTGCTTCCATTCTTGCTTTCTTAGTTCACATGACCACCACATATGTATATACGTCCCCTTCTGTTTTTTACACCTCCAGCACACTGATGATACATTTTTATTTGTTATATTCAGTTTTACCGGCGTTAAATACTACCTCCATATTACCTTATAACAATTTTCTTTTATCCTTACAGACATGTTTTTCATAATTCTTTGGTCCCACATTTTATCCCATTCTTCTATTGCAACTGTGTTTTTAGTCCTTGTGTATCCTGTTCGTCCTGAATTAATAATCTCTATATAACAGTTACCTTTCTTTCTGTCTTTTCCTCTAATTTCAATCTTTTTTCAATAATCTTTTTAAATTTTGTCATTTTTCTACTTTTCCCTTCCTCACTATTCCATTCCCTTGTCCATCTTTCTATTTGAATCATATTAAACCAGGAAATGAGAGTCTTTTAAGATTTTCTGGAAAATTCTTTAAATCCACCACCTGGGATAAAGGAGAGACTAGTGGGCTCAATATAACTCTAAACTTTTTCCAATTTTCTAACATATTTTTAAGGAAAGGATTAGTAATCTTTTAAATCTCTTCTCCAATTTTTTCTTTAAACAATATACTTTCAATTCTTTCTTCCTTACCCTGCATTTCTATTTCTGTCCAAATGAAATTTTTATTACCTTTAATAATAATCTGGAATATGTCTGAGCTGATTTGCTGTATAATATAATTTTAAACTGGGTAATCCAAGTTTTGTGTTACATACCATAATTTCTTATTAATCCTCACTCATTTATTTCCATTGCAATAACAATTTATCATCATCTGCCGTTCTTTCAGTTGTTTTTCTGTAATCTTTATAGGAAGCATCCAAAATATAAAACTTAATTTAGAAATAATTTTCATTTTGCATAATGCCACACTACCAAACCAAGAAATCTTTAATTTCTGATAATCTTTTATCCTTCCAGCTATCACTTTTTTCAATCTATCTAGATTTATTTTAACTATATCCTGTAAGTTCCAAGTAATATTAATCCCTAAATATTTAATAACATTTTCCATTTTACCTTCAGATATTGTTTTCATTCTTTTCTCTTCATCCGAGTGGCTTAACAATAAACATTCTGACTTTCCTCAATTTACTTTTAATTCTGTTATACCCTCGAATTCCTCCAAATGTGATTTAAGCCTTTCTGTTGTTTCTATTGGATTTTTAACTATTAGTAAGGTGTCATTACTAATAAAGTAACGCCACGTAAAACATGGTGGCGCTGCGGGCTAAACCGCAGAAGCCTGTGCTGCAGGGTCAGAAGACGAGCAGTCGTAAGATCGAATCCACGCGACAGAGTGAGTGCCCATTGCTTGTCCCAGCTCCCGCCAACCTAGCAGTTCGAAATCATGCAAATGCAAGTAGATAAATAAGGACCACCTTGGTGGGAAGGTAACAGCATTCTGTGTCTAAGTCGCACTGGCCATGTGACCACGGAAGATTGTCTTCGGACAAAACGCTGGCTCTATGGCTTGGAAACGGGGATGAGCACCGCCCCCGAGAGTCGAACATGACTGGACAAAATTTGTCAAGGGGGACCTTTACCTTTACCTAATGTGTCATCAGCAAACAAGTTTATCTTACTATTTTCTTTGTTCTATCCCTACAATCTGTTTATCATCTCTAATTATCTGTGCCAATAATTCTAATATCGTTGTAAATAATACTGGAAATAAGGGGCAACCTTGTACCTCGGCATAGGTGTATTGTCTCAGTTATTCCATCATTAACTATTACTCTAGCTGTATTCTGTGAATATAATTGGTGAATTATCTGCCTAAAATTAACTTCAAACCCTAGATATTTAATTAATGTCTTTAAAGTATCCCATTCCACTGAATCAAATACTTTAAATATGTTAATGATAGTACTCCTGCTTTAGAGTTAATTTAATGCGTTTAGCTAAAATACTCATCTCATTAAATCTGACATTTGTCTGCCTTGTATAAATCCATTTCAGTCTTTTTCAATGTGACTCCCCATAAAGTTATTTAATCTCTTTTCCATTGTTGCTGTGAATATCTTAGCATCTTGATTTATCAGTGATATGGGTCTATATGCTTCCATATTTATTGGATTTTTATCCGGTTTCAATATTAAAACAAGCAATTACTCTTTCCATGATTGTGGGATTTCTTCTCCCATTAATATCTTATTAAATAGCACTTTTAACTTCTTTTGGTATAAGAATCTTTTTAAATACTTTATAATGTTCTGGGCCTAATCCATATGTTCCGGGGGTCTAGCCTGTCTTTTTAGTTATTTTAAGTTATTTGTATTGCTCCTATATTATTTTTATTTATTTTTTATAGAAGACGGTTTAGCTAATAACTTGGAGTTCCTGTTATTAAATTCAAAAAAAATCTATTTTTAGATAAATTAAGTTTCTTTGTACCATTTCCAGATGAATTCCTTCCAGTTCCTTCTCTTTGCTTGTAATTCTATTATAGCTTTCTTACTAGTTTCTATAACTATTTTTTCTAATTCCTTTATATTATCTTCTAAGTCCTGTATTCTTTCCCCCCTTTTTAAGTATATAAGATGCTTTACATGCATACCCTCTTGCCAAAGACTTCATAGTGTCCCAGATTATGTTAGGTTGACCTCCCTTCTTATTTATTTCCCATGTCTCTTCTAAATCTTTCTGAAATTTTTCAATCAGGTTTGGTTACCGAAAAATATTTGTATCAATTTTCCACCTTACTGCCTCCTCATAATCACATTTAAACATCAATTCCATATTCAATGTGGCATGATCTGATATTTGGATGACTTCAATGGCTGTATCATTTACCCTTGGCAGTAAATCTTTAGAGACAAATATATAATCTGTTCTTGAATGTGTCTTATGCACCTGTGAGTGGAAGAAGAACTTTCTTTCTTCACCCTTTAATTTTCTCCAAACATCTTTCAAATCTGTTTTATTAATTAATCTGTACAATATTGTACATTTAATTTTCCTCAATTCGCAACTTTAATTTATCCTTCTTCATATCCATTACCATGTTAAAATCTCCTGCTAGTATCATAAAACCTTTCCTCAATTTATTCAACCTTCTCAATATACAGTATTTTCAAAAAATTCCTCCTGTCTCTCATTAGGTGCATAAGCATTTACAAGTGTAATGCCTTCTCCTTTTATTTTACCTTGCAATATCAAATATCTGCCTTGAGTAAACTTTTCCATTTTTTAAATTTTAATTTCAATTTTTTATATTAATATTACTACTCCCAAGATTTTGAAGTTCCAAATGATTTTTCATAAATTTGAATCCATTTGCCCTTCAGTTCATTAAGACCCTCCTTTTTTGATGAGTGTCTTGGAAGAATACAATATCCATATTACTTTTATTCAATACATTTTGTATCCTTGCCCTCTTTGTGTTAGAACCCAGGCTTTTCACATTCCATGGTGAAAACCTTACGTGTTTAACCATTCTCTATGTTTTTTTTTAAATTAATACTAGTCCTATTTGCGATTGCCAACTATAGCGCTCCCCCAATAAAAATAAAAAATTAACAAAAAACCCTTGAATTCCTACTGAATTCTTCTACCACCACCTTCTCCACTACTACTTTTCTTCCTCCCATCTTATACCAGACTATCATAACTACTTTTTTTTCATATATCTGTGTTTAAATATTCATACATAAATTTCTTCATATCAGGTATATAAGTAAAATGTTTTTGTTTTTTATATTTTTCTTCCCATAATTCTCCCATTTCGTTTGGTTTTGTTTTGTTTTTCAGTAGAAATCTTATTTACAGTATTCTTCTACTACTGGTCTCCCTATTTTATAATCATTTAATCTCATTTTCTTCCCAATTTTTCCTCCTTTTTAATTTTTTTATATTCCTCCTCCAAATTTATAATTAACCTATTTTTTTATATTCCTCCTCCATATTTATAATTAACCATCACTGGGTAACTCCTTAGATATCTTCTTCCAATATTACTATACCATTTTCACCTTTTTCTGGATTTACCTCTTATTATTTTATCCCATTATATTATACAATACAATTACGAGAATATCTCCTTTTACATCAAATTAAATTGTACATTAAAGCTATTATCTCTTATTTTCTTAATTTTCCTCTTCCTTTGCCCTTCCTCGGTTGTTTTGGTTTCACTCCTTGTTTTTCTTGTTCTTTTTCCTTATTGCCATCTATCGAGTCTTGCTCCATCCCTTCCTCTGCATCTGATTCCTGACTTTGCCCTAGGCCCTCCACCGTCTTCATTTGCTCCTCCCACTCTTCTTTTGTTAAAATTCTAGAGTTCTTTAAAAGATCCAAAGCCACTGGGACTGATGTAGCCTTATGACATTTTCCATTGTAATGCACCTTTAAAAACACTGGGTAACCCCAACTATATTTGACACTTTTTTTGAACGATAGAAGTAATAACCCGAATTTGTCTTCTAAATACCATAGTTTCATGACAATAATCATTAAACACTTGAATTGGGTTCCCCTCAAATACCAAATTCCCTGGATTCTCTCTTAAAGTTTTCATCAGTTCCTCTTTTTTTCCAAGGCTTGAAATCTCATCAGAATATGGCGAGGCTGTCATCTGCATCTTGAACTGACTCTATGTATTTTCTCCAAATCATAAATAGTCCAGTCTATTTTGGTGCTGTCTTTTTCAGCTAGGCTAGAGCTAGTTCAGTTAAGTCCTTCTCTTTGAAGCCCAAATCCAGAATTCCTCTCAATCTAATATTATGACAGTTGTAATCCTGTGATAAAATCATCTGCTGCTGGAAATCCGTAATAGTGATTTCATTGTCCAATAATATAACAAAATTTTGTTTAATTTGAGATCGCAACCCCTCAATGTTTTCATTGATTTTTTAAAAAATGAGAATCATTTTTTTGATTTTTTAAAAATAATTTTCTTGATTGGTCTTTACCTTCTTTCCAACATCTTGTAATTCTTTCCCCATTTCTTGTAAGTCTTGACTCATATTTCCCACTTTTTTACCCATCTTTTCCATTTTTGGTCCATATTTTTCACTTTTTGACCCATATTTGACATTGTTTATTTCTTTCCATGATGTTTTCATTCACCGTTGCAGTCACATCCAACATTAACTTCATCTCAGATTCATCAGCTTTTTGGGCCATTTCCCCTTCTCCTTCTACTTCCACTTTTGACAATCTCACCAGATGGGAATCTGAAGGTTTAATAGTTGATTGCGCTGAATAATCTCTTTTCCTTGCAACTTTACTCTCCTTCTGTTCAGACCAAGCTTTTCTCATAAATTTCAATAATTTCCTGGACTCTTTTTCTTCCTTGAATTGTTATTTTTAGCTATTACCAGCAGATGGAGCCTACTAACTGTCATATATATTCAAAGGTTAAGGAATGTTAAATTTCGTTTCTCCACGTCTGGATATGTTGCAGCCTAAAGTGAAACCTAATGAAGATGTATTTTTCACTTCCTCAGTCTCTAATTCAGGATGCCATATGCTTAGATTATTTCATAGATTGTTAGGTTCTTTCTTTCTTTCTTATTTTTTTACTCCCAGCAGTTCTTTAAAAGCGAAATCCAGTTTCATGGATAAATATTTTCCCCGGCAACTAAGAGATAAAAAATTTTGACTGGTCCTTTTACAAACACAGTCAGTTCATTAATAGGCAGTTTAAAAAGTTTTTCTTGGCTAACCGTGGTGGGAATCTCACCTCCCACAGGAATCCCCACTGGGGGTAGCTCACACACCAGCTGCCGCTCGTTTTTATTTTTAAGAAAAACAAACTGCTTTTATAGTCCACTCCTGTTGCCTCAAGGATATTGTTAATATTTTAAAGTCACTTACAGATCCATGACCCCCCCTTTTTTTCTGTCTCACGTAGATTTCAGAGTGAGAGCTCCGTGAATTTCAAGCCACGGCCATCAAGGTCCAGGACACGCTCCCCCCAGCCTTGCCAATGATTTTAATAGTTTAAAAGCTATCTAGTTCTGATAATCTTAAAACAGTTGATAGAGGGTAGCTCTATTTTATTTGCAAACCTATTCTTCAACTTTCTGTAACTTGATAATTCAGTTTAAAAAGGGGCTGTGGGTCAATAAACCTGTAGCTCGTGATATAACTTGTAGGAGCCCTTTTCAGAACCCATGAAACAGATAAATGCCTGGAAGTTGGGGAAATAGCAGAGTCGCCTAGCTGAACTCAGTATTAAGGGCAAGCCTCTGTTAGGATTGCAGTACCTTATTCCAACCAGGGAGCTTCACAAAGGTGTCGTGGCTGATGTTAGGTGTGGTGAATGCTCCAGTGTAAAAAGCCGGCCCTGTAGTCCCATTGCTTGTTGTAGTCGTTGGGGGCCATGCATGAGCCACAGCTGAGTCAATATCCAGGGGGTAGATGAGCCAGTTATGCAGTATGATGGAACCCAGTGTGAGATTGTGAATCAGACCCTATACAAGAAGGTAAGATAGAAACAATAGATGCAGCTAGAAATAAGGGAACTGCAACTCAGTTAAAGCTTATTTGGTTCATTGATGATTAAAATTTGGCCCTTATATCTTTTGACTTCAGCTCCCCAAAGTCCCAGGCAGCATGGCCAGTGATAAGAGCTTGTGGGTGTACTATTTCGAAACAAAACATAACAAAACCCTTTGGCAGGGACACTATTTTCCCATCTTGGTTTCAGTTCAACCTCACAAACAGTCCTGCATTATGCAATACCTATACATATGCAAACACTTCTCCATTTTTCTCTGTTTTGGCAGACTACAGTAGAATAATACACTTCTCCTCCTCTGAAATGGGCTAATACTATTATATTTTTCCCCTTGGGAGAAACACCATTTTGCTATACTCCTTGCCAACATTCCCTCTAATTTTTTTGCCCTGCAAGGTGCGGCTGCACCCATCATCCACAGCCCCACAGGTTTCTATCATGACCAGAACCCAATGGGCTGTCTGTGTGCAGAGGAGGAATACTGTGCAGAAGGGGGTGCAGTACTGCACGCTCACGCAGTTGTGTAACTTTGAGGGAACCTTGCTCCTTTAAGGGTCTAAGATACTCTTGCAGTGATCTGTGAACTGGAAAGGGAGGAGACATCTAATGCTTTTCTTGACACTGCAGAATTGCCCGATTACAGGGAAGCAATCCCTATGCAGACTAACTCACTGATGCAGGAGGAATTTGGAGCAGACAGTAAGAAAACTAACAAGCATGATCACAATTCCCCATGACTTGCTGCTAATACGCCCTTTTCAAATTACTACGATAAGCTGCATCAGATCTAACAGTGGTGAAAGCTGCAGGTAAAAATACTTTCCCATACACATCTACAGTGCATTTTTGAAAGGAACTTGGTCAGTTTCAGTTTAGGCTAGCTATCTGACACAGCTACTCCAGCCAAATTCCAAGGGACAAGCACTGCTCTTCAACCTACTGTTAGGAACAGTAGCCCTGGAGCCTCTATCCAGCTGTACCTTAAAATCACTCTCATTGGCACCAAAATTGATATGACCCATATTCTCCACCAAAACATCCAATGTGTCTCCTAGTTTGCCAGATATATTGACCCCATGCACTCTGTTCCGTTCCAGTGTCCCCTTGTACACCTGAAGTGGGAAAGACAGAAACAGGATTAGCACATGTTCTGGTATAAGGAGCCCTTGCAAGGCCCACTGGCCATCCCGTGAATATACAGTACTGTGAGTCACAGCAAGGGCCTGGGACTTGTTGCACCATATTAGCTTCAGTTATTAATCCGCCTCCTTGCCCAGAAGGATGATCTCCAGTTTCCACCTTACTCCATTAAGCAGAATGTAGGCAAAATCATGGACGCCGTTTTGAAAGGCAGTGAGCTGGACAGGCTCTGGAATGTCATGTGGTAGAAGGGTCCGGTACAGCATGAAGCCATGTGGCTGAAATAAATAATAATAGGTATGATGTGCAATCCAGGCAACAAACAAAAAACCCCACCCCTACTGGACACTCAGATCATCCAACGGGAAGAGTCAAGCATCATTTGCTGACAAAGACTCCTGTTCTATGACTTACCTGCTTCAGGGCTTCAAAAGTAAGAGGGAAGGAGGAGTAGAATGGCAGAGAAGGCGAAATAAGTCCTAGAATGTCCAGCAGGGCCACACGCTGAAGAAAAAAAGGAGGTAGTACTATATTTAAATATTTTCTAAGTAACTTCTAAAATATGTTTTCCAAAGCAGCCTACATTTAAAAATATGAAAAATCACAGTAAGAATTAACACCAAACTACAAAGATAGAGTCCGTAATAAAATACCTTTCCAATAAAATTTAAAAAAAAACCAATTGGAAGAGGGAGTGCTAACATTTTTCTGCAGTATACCCTCGCATCTTATCTCTTAACGATGTCCTCCTGCTACATAAAATGAACATTTCACAGTGAGTACCAACGTTCCTTTCTCCTGTAGCAGAGGAGGATCTCCTCAAGAGAGCTAGAAAGTTCATCCTTCTATATAAAATGATAATTTCACAATGAGTACCACAGTGAGTGTTTTTTTCTGTGAGGAATTTCCTAAGCCCCACAATGGTGATGCCAGCACAAAGCTGTGCAAAATACAGTGGTGCCTCGCTAGACGGTTGCCCCGCTTTACGGCGAAAGCGCTTTACGATGGGTTTTTTGCATTCATTTTACCCATTGCAAAACGACTGTTCCAATGGAGCTTTTTCGCACCACGATCACCTGCGCTCGCTTTAGAGCACTTTGCAGGCTTTTCCTGAAAAGGCAGAAAAAGCCTGCAAAGTGCTCTAAAGCGGGCATGGGTGGTTTTGGGGCACCCCCGCCAGGGCTCTGATAGTGCAGGGGAAGCCATCAGAACCCTGGCGGGGGTGCCCCAAAACCACACTCCCTGGCTTTGGGGGTCCCCCGGGGCTTACCTTGCACCATGGGAGGACTTGCGTGGGTCCCTCTGCGCAGCGATCGGCGTTTGCAGAGGCTTGACTGAAAGCAATTTTAAAGTCCCCTTCTCTTCCTCCAGCCTTCTTGGAAGGGAAAAATGCCCCCCTTTTCCCTTCTGAGGCTTGCCAAAGGCTGGAGGAAGAGATGGGAACTTTAAAATTGCTTTCAGTCAAGCCTCTGCAGATGCCGATCGCTGCGCAGAGAGACCCGCGCGAGTCCTCCCATGGTGCAAGGTAAGCCCCGGGGGACCCTCAAAGCCAGGGAGTGTGGTTTTGGGGCACCTCCACCAGGGTTCTGATGGCTTCTCCTGCACCATCAGAGCCCTGGCGGGGGTGCCCCAAAACCACCCGCACCCGCTTTAGAGCACTCTGGAGTCTTTTCCTGCACCATCAGAGGACTAGTGGGGGACCTCCAAAGCTGGTGATCGTGGGAAGGGGACCCCCCGCCAGTCCTCCCATGGTGCTACCCCAGCTCCCTACCCCTTAAGTTCCTTTTTTTAAAAAAAAATTCCCCTAGGAACACATTAATTAATTTTCAGTGCATTCCTACGGGAAATTTGGTTTCGCAAGACGATGTTTTCGCAAGACAGCGATTTTTGTGGAACAGATTGACATCATCTTGCGAGGCACCACTGTAACTTAAATGCTATCAGAAAAGTTCTTTTTCTTTCCCTCAGCTCTTACTTCAGCTCCTTTGATCTCCTCACCAGTTTGTTTCTTGACTCATGCATTACCTTCTCTCATCTCTGCTCAGACACCCGATAGTTGAAAAGTACAGTAAACTGAAGGAGGGAGCATGGAGGGAACAGGACCAAGAATTTTACCACCAGCCAAAGTCATCCATTTATAAAAATGGTCTTCTGATGCAACTCACCTCTGGCAGTGGTACATAGCCATATGCAAACTTTGGGGTGGGAGGTGGCATTGGTCCTGCAGGCAACACCTGAAACTGAAGTTTTAAAAATGGCAGTTAAAGGAGCTGAGCATTCATGACAGCAGCACCACATGTACATGAAATGTAGCACAAAGAGACCTGAAATGTAGCATAAACTCGCCTCACACTTGTAGGCCACTCAGAACTCTTTGGAAGAATAAGTAACACAACTAAAGCCATTTTGAATTTCTTTGTCTTAAAAGTTTTCTCAATAAAGGTAAAATGGTATTAAAACTCAACTACATGTCACTGCCCAAGCCAATAGTAGCAACTGAAACAACATGCACATAATTTTAGATGGAGGAAGCAATTATCCATCTAAGGGCCAGAGCAGTTCTTAGTCTGGATTGAGCATGATCCTCAGACTAGGCCACCATCCCTGCAAGAGCTCCTCCATTAGCTCCTTGAAACAACTTACAAAACAGCTTTCTGCCAAGCACAGCCATGCTGGTGTCTTGAATGGGTGCACATTTTCTTCCTCCATTTCTAAATGTTGTGAACAGAATGAACTAGAGCTCCTGATCTTTACATTATTGAACTGATCCCAGTGACTGTGTGTGTGTTTGTATTACAGTGGGTTTTGCAACAGCACTAGGGATGTGCACAGCAAAAACTTTCATGGTTGTTTTGATTTCGTTTTTTGGATGACTGGGGGTTTTTTGTTTTTGTTTTCATGTCTTTCATGTACCAGTCCCTTCATTAATAATGAGAGGGACCACCCTTTCAGATGCTTTCTTTTTTCCCATTTGTGTTCACACTGGTTTTGACCTGAAAGCTCTATGGGTGTTATATGGGATCAATGTACAGGATCATAAAAGAGCTTTCAAAAACAGTGAAGGAGTGGTTTTACTAGTCCCCCCAGTGTATCAGTGAGTATCCATTGCCAAGCATATATCCAGACCCAGATCTCCTGAGCCTAGTCTGCAACTTCATCCGCTACAACACACAACACTACTCCAAAAAACCAGGAACAAAGCAGTCAACAAAGAACCCTTAAAATTATTCTAAAGAAGCAGAGGGGGAAAACGAGACATACTCCACAATAGTACATGAGAAATAAAAGTTTGAAAAGAGAAAGAAAAGTAAACCCAAAAAATATACACCTTTAACAGAATAAATACAAAAAGAATTAACCAAATAACATGTTTTTTTTAAAAAATATCAGTCTAAGAGGGAAAGTGCACCCTGCCACACACATGCCGGGGGGGGGGGGCGAAGCAAAATGTTTAAAAACAAGGTGGAAAATACATTCAAGGACCCCTCAACCAAAATGACCAGAATTTCAGGAGATTTCTCTCTTGCCTATCACTAATGTTTTCTGTGTCAGCATCCAAGCAAGCATAGAGTCAGGCAGCTCAATACAAGATGGAGGATACCAGACGCTAGTTAGCTAGCACACAGACTCCCACAAGAACAACTGAAAGTACGCCTCCCATTAGATTTCAATTAATCCAGGCCCTTTCAGTTTTAGGATTCCCACCCACCCCATGCTCCTGGACATTCTGATTGACTGCTGACAGCAGCACTTACAACACTATTGGATGAAAAATTTCCTGGGCAATGTCCAAACAATTTGACAAAGAAAAAAGAAAGAATAAATAAAAGATGTAAAGATAAAACAGCATGAGACTTTTGTGTACCCTTCTTTCCTGTGAATAACTTATTTGGGTTTACGATACAGTTTTTCTGAAAGAAGAAGAAAAAAAGATGAAAATAAAAAAACAGTCTCTTTTGTTCTCATTTCACTAAAGTCCCATTCCTAAATAATGTTAGAGAGCATCTCCTTATCTTCTATTCAATACGCAATGTTACAAGTGTGTGTTACCTTGCTAATAATTGTTCGGATAGCATACAGCTTATCTGTAGGATCTCCAGCTTCTGAAAGAGGTGCATCATAGTCATAGCTAGTAGTAATGGGGTTATAAGTGTTTTCATTGTAGTCAGCACCTGGATAGAAAAGCATGTGAGAACAAGGCACGTTGACTCTTATTACTGCCCACCCCCACCCCCAATCAGGAACTTCCATTGTCTCTCCAGAGGCTAGGCTCTCCTAGTCTCTGCTAAGGCAGCAACAGAAAAGAACCAGAAACTCACCACTCCAATAACCAAAGTTGGTGCCTCCTTGGAACATATACCTGCAAAGCCAGAAAACACTGTAAGGCTCCTCCTGCTATCCAAGTAATGAGCCATGACAGGTAGCAAAAGGGGATGGTGTGCAATGGGAACTAATGTATAGCAATGGGTGATAGTTTTACAATGGTACTGCAGGAGAATATGGCCCAATGTAATGTCTGAGAGCATGTACCTTAGTCTTCATTTTGTAGAGAATGTTTGTGAATTACATTAAGTGGCTAAAGATAATATATCTTGCTATATACGCAGGCATTCTAAGGGCAACAGGAAGATTTAACCATAGGAAAAGTGAAGCAAAGAGCTAAGGGTTTGTGTCTAGGAGGGCGTCCTGCTTCTTTCTACCATATGACCTATCATGTGTACCCTGCTGCCCACTCTTCCCCCATGGTCTCACGGTTACATGTTGACGTTGGCTTCCAATTCTAGCATCTTCTGTAGGCCTTGAGCCACATCTGTAGCATTTTGTGTGGAGTGTGGCTCACCCCAATAGTCCAGCCAGCCTGTGTAGTACTCAGAATTGACCTAGGAGGAAAGCAGAATATAGATACTTCTAAAAGAGCAGCAGATAAGCCAATTCGAAGACTTGGAGTGATGCAGTATGATAGAT